GTGGCGGCGCGGCTTACTTGGTTCGGTTGGTTGGGGTGAGGTGGGGTGTGGAAGAGGTGGCCGTGGCGGAGGACGAAGGGGAGAGGAGGTGCAGCAGGAGGCGTGGGAGGGGGCACGAGCCGCGGGAAGGAGCCGTGCCTCCCTGCCGTCCGCCCGCAGTGCGCGCTACGCGATATCACTGGCCGGTCATGTGTGCGTCACTCTCACGTTTACACTGGTACCGTTCGGTGTGCTTGGTTACCGCGCTGCCGCCGCTGTTACCGTCAACCGAGCAGTGTGTGCCCAGTATACACGGTGTGCGGCCGGAAGTTTAAAGTGTCTCTCGTTCCGTGTCCTGGACGTGGCGAGAGCTGGCGAAATCCTGTTGGTGCGGGCATCATCGACAGAGGGACGACGGGCGCGCAGGTGGAGCGTACTGTAAAAGGGAAAGATCGGCTGCGTGGAGCGCGACGGAGGAAAAGGAAAAAACAACGAAACGTCAACCAGGGGGGGGGTGGGGAGGGCGAGGTGCATCGAAACATCGTTCAGTATTTTCGGTGTCTTCTCGTCCTGTGTCCATACGTACGTATCCGTACGAGTAAGGAGTGGCTGCTGTCGGTGGCCGATCGTCCAAAGAAGAGAAGAGAAGAGGAAAGAAAGAAGAGAGAAAGAAGGAGGATCGTGCGCGCCTCATGGCCCTGTTGTTTGTTGGTCCGTCGTGATCGCGAGGAGAAAGAGGGAGAAAGAGAGAGAGAGAGCGAGAGAGGGAAAGGTCCGAGTGACTGTGCTTGGTGTTTTGGTGGAAAAATAACGAAGTGGTGATCGGTGCTCGGTTGTTCTTCGACGCAATTCAGTGCTATACGTGTGGTTTTTCTTTTTTGGGGGAGAGGCACGCTCGCCGGAGGATCGGGATCGAGGAAAAGAAAAGGAGGGAGATAGAGGGAGAAGACTAGAAGGAACGAAAAAGAGAAGAAATAGACGGATAGGAGAAGGAGGTGGAGAAAGGGTGATTGGAAGACCCGGCTGGCGATCCGAATTCGCGGATTCGACACGCCGCGGTTGCCGATCCATAATATGGCGTACAAGTTTCGCGAAGAGATCGTGGGAAAGAGGTTTCTCTCGGTGAGTGGTTTCACCAAGCTAAAGGTGAATAAAATCAGTGAGTGGGGGTGGCGTGCAGGGGTGATTCGTGCTGCCAGTCACAGGGATAACAGCTGTCACGATCTTCAGGTGAGTTAACCAACAGACCAGAAATTATTTCGTTATTTTTCAACCGACTCGATGTCGAATCGTTCGCGACACGTCGAGTCTACGCATAGAATAACCTCGGTTCGATGCATGCTGCCTATCTGGCATCGCGCGCGCGACACGCCGTTTGTGTTTACATTAGCGACCGACCTTTCAAATATTCGAATCTCGCCTTCTACCTCGCGTCTACTCCGTTTCGATTCAAGAAGTCCCTTTCCTTCGAACCTCGACCGCGTATTCTGCTCGACATTTTTTCCATACGAAAATTCGACCTATTACTCTTAGTTCTCTTAATTCGGTAATTGGACGTTGGTCATACTGCGACTTACAGCGGATACGTAAATTATTTTAGGCAATTTATAAGTAAGGCGTAATTCAACATCGCAATGGTAATTATTAATTATTCGACGATAGCGTTCGGAGATTTTTGTCGGTTAGGTAATTCAAATTTCGAATTCAGACTATTACGTAAACATCGTATATTTTCGTCGTATTCATATACGCTCCAAATGTATGGTTACGCTTAATATGCATAGACCCGTTTTTACCGACACGTGCGCGCCTCATGGCCCTGTTGTTTGTTGGTCCGTCGTGATCGCGAGGAGAAAGAGGGAGAAAGAGAGAGAGAGAGCGAGAGAGGGAAAGGTCCGAGTGACTGTGCTTGGTGTTTTGGTGGAAAAATAACGAAGTGGTGATCGGTGCTCGGTTGTTCTTCGACGCAATTCAGTGCTATACGTGTGGTTTTTCTTTTTTGGGGGAGAGGCACGCTCGCCGGAGGATCGGGATCGAGGAAAAGAAAAGGAGGGAGATAGAGGGAGAAGACTAGAAGGAACGAAAAAGAGAAGAAATAGACGGATAGGAGAAGGAGGTGGAGAAAGGGTGATTGGAAGACCCGGCTGGCGATCCGAATTCGCGGATTCGACACGCCGCGGTTGCCGATCCATAATATGGCGTACAAGTTTCGCGAAGAGATCGTGGGAAAGAGGTTTCTCTCGGTGAGTGGTTTCACCAAGCTAAAGGTGAATAAAATCAGTGAGTGGGGGTGGCGTGCAGGGGTGATTCGTGCTGCCAGTCACAGGGATAACAGCTGTCACGATCTTCAGGTGAGTTAACCAACAGACCAGAAATTATTTCGTTATTTTTCAACCGACTCGATGTCGAATCGTTCGCGACACGTCGAGTCTACGCATAGAATAACCTCGGTTCGATGCATGCTGCCTATCTGGCATCGCGCGCGCGACACGCCGTTTGTGTTTACATTAGCGACCGACCTTTCAAATATTCGAATCTCGCCTTCTACCTCGCGTCTACTCCGTTTCGATTCAAGAAGTCCCTTTCCTTCGAACCTCGACCGCGTATTCTGCTCGACATTTTTTCCATACGAAAATTCGACCTATTACTCTTAGTTCTCTTAATTCGGTAATTGGACGTTGGTCATACTGCGACTTACAGCGGATACGTAAATTATTTTAGGCAATTTATAAGTAAGGCGTAATTCAACATCGCAATGGTAATTATTAATTATTCGACGATAGCGTTCGGAGATTTTTGTCGGTTAGGTAATTCAAATTTCGAATTCAGACTATTACGTAAACATCGTATATTTTCGTCGTATTCATATACGCTCCAAATGTATGGTTACGCTTAATATGCATAGACCCGTTTTTACCGACATTAATATTAATACTCACTCTGGTTATGATGTATTCAAATTTTGGACAAAAATTCTGGTATCCTATTATTTCCATGTTAAGTGTTGAATTTTCAATTCGCTTTGACTCATCGCGAAATCATTTTTTTTTGTCAAGATGGCTATATCGGAACAGTCAGGTTAAAGCAACAGCATATTCCACGTTGGAACTTGGCCTGTCGTTTTTTTATCGAACGAATACGTATCTGTCGAGTCAAAGATCGAACTCGATCAGAATACTTTTCGATCGAGCAGCCACGTGACGGTTCCGATTCGTAAAGTGGAAATAATTTGTTTACGTCCGAAAAAGAGCCGAGTCATTTTGAACTTTTTACGAATCCGTGTGTACGTGTTTCTGCAGACTCGATAAATATTTGACAAGACCGATTATCGTTAAAAACCGTTCGATAGGTGGCGTCAGAATTACTGCAAGACTCTTCTGTACGTGCTCGAAGTTGATACACGATCAAGGCAAGGTTAATGGGTCGTGCTCGATAATAGAGGGTTTTTGTATGTTAATATGCGTCTTCGTAAAAATAGAAAAATTGTTCAATTGTTAAATTCTATCTACCAACTTTTATTTCGATGCATTCCTCCCATTCAAAAGTAACGGGATTATTCGTGGTAAATGGTAGTCTTGTAACGGCACTTGTTGATTCTGATATTTTAAGGATGTTACTGTTGTTGCTTACGAAGATACCAAAGTACCGTTCCGAAATATCTGCTGCATAAACTATGCAATCGTATGTACAAATCATTTATTCCAATTTGCTAATGCTCGTTATACAAGTATGACAGCAAGCATTTTAACATGACATAAATTACCTCTCCCCAATTTTTCAAGCTTCGTTGTAAGATTTCATGCTTTTATCGAAGGTAAGCAAAGTGCTACACGATGGAAATTACTGCTCAATATCATTATCGTGTTGATAAAGAGGTACGAGTTTCCATTTGTACTCGTAAAAATATACTGTAATGTATATTTCTGAGTAACAGCGACTTTTGTCATTTATCGAGGTAGAAGCGTCTCCATTTACAGAGGCATCGTAAGTAGAGCGATATTATCGTGCGTGGATTCATTGAGAAGCAGGTTGGTCGAACTTGATCGACGATAAGCAAGGTTAAACGGCCGAAGTTGTTGCCAAAACGCAAAGTGGGCCAAAGCAGAGCAGAACGTAGAGTTCCGAGAAGCTAGCGTTAAACATCGTAGCTCTTGTTAGATTACGTAAGCAATCGCGCGGGAGCCGCTTACCTGAGAAATCCTCTCTCTCTCTTTTTTTTTTTTTTGCTTTATCGCGACATCAAGTCATAACTATTTCAGTTTTCGAGGACGTTCCCGGTGCGCGCGAACACGTGCATACGTGTGTACACGCGTCGCAAGTAGCTCGCATTACGCGGCTGATATTTGTCAATTATACTTAAGCGTGGCCAAAGGCCACGATTGTGTCACTCTAAATATCACTGTCGGACAGAGTCTCTGTTTGTGATTCTTTTTAATCCTTTCACTTGCACGTTACTCGTCGCTAGAAATCGTTTGAACGTCGCCAATTTCTTCTGCTGCAATTTTCCGTTCTAAAACGATAGCTTATTAACGACGGAAATTGCGTACCGAATTTAATATCGAATAATAGAAATAAATTATGCAGCGAATTTCAATTGAATCGGCTGTAATTATTTCAGACGAGACGTCGGAAAGGTTAAAAATTTGTAGCCGTGGTTCTCCTAAAATAAATATTCAGTATATTTGAAACGAAATTTCGACGTTAATATTAATATTTATGACAATATAACGCGGACATTAATATTCCATTTGGAGTGCGAGGCAAGTCATGTACGCAGCAACGGAAATTATGCGACCGATAAAATTGTTTTGTTTCGATGGAAAAGCGACAATAATTTTCTTCTGCCATTCAGTTCGAGGCATTTAAATATAATTCGAGTATAAGTACAGAGTGTGCACGTTGCATCCGAGTATTAGATATCGTACGTTAATGTACGTTGTCGCGGTGTTAATTGCACTGCTATCGGTGCTAAATAACGTATCGTGTTTCCTGGTATAATTACTTTTACTCCGCTGTCGCAATAACTACCCTAAATGTTTCAGGCATCGGCGCGATGGAGTAGGTATTCTAGATGCTATAGGTGTTCTAAATATTGCACGTACTCTAGACTGGCCAAGCTATTCTTAGTACTCCAGGAATCGTGATTGCTATAATTTGAATACGAGCTCTTTGATACTGGTACCGTTTTCAATTTTTGTTTCGTCATCGATTTGCAAGAAAAAGTTCCTGAAAAGTTACATCATCGAAGGGGCACGAAATCGCTTCCCACGAGCGTACAATCTGGAAGACTTAGCGCAAAGTCGGCCCGTGTTCTCATGGATAATTTACGGGAACGAAAGGTCCAAACGGTAGGAAATTACGCGAAAGTGTTAGGTTCAAGGCGTGTACGTAACTTCTCGACCGCAAATTTCGGGGTCCATAGTTGCCAATCATTTCGAGCAAGGGGCTATCGTGCCGGTTGGCCCCCCTTCGGCTTCTTCCTCCTTCGTGTTCGCCAGGCACGTTTTCTCGAGGATCCATGGGCACGTCGATGCACCTCGTACGTGCTGCATAACGGTGCTTCCCCATGAACGTGGCTGGCAGGTGCACGAAAAAGGTGCTCCCCTTCGAGTCTGTCACGAGAAACGAACTTTCGTCGTTTCGTCTCATTGATGGATATCCGCAAAGTTTCGCTGAAAGCTTCAGTTTTGTTGAAAGACACTTGGAATCTTTAATTAGTTTTGCCTTGCTAATTGTTTATTACTGCATCCTTGACCGTGCTGATCGGAACCTTCGTACAAAACTAATATGCACAAACGCGATACAAATGAAATCTGATATCGAATTTCTGACGTTGGTTGAGTCAGTCTTTTATCAAAGGGAAAACTTCGAAATGACAATCAATTTCGACGAGAATAGATAAAAGTGTTCAGCCTGAAATAGCGTATGATTCGATAGCGAAGCCGATACGAAATACGCGACGCACGGTCGAAGTGCAACGTCACCCGCGCGATTACGTCCTCCTTGGAAAAAGAAGCAGAGGCCGAGGTCTTTCGTAATTTATGCTCCATTTGCTAAGAGGAATCCGAAGGAAAGCCAAGAGAATCCTGGCCGTGGATTTCCTTCGTCCTTATTCGACCCCTACCGCTATCTCTACATATTCGCCACTCTTTTCTATTCAGCTTCTATATGGGCGAATTCCATTCACCTTAAGCCGAGATAAAACGGAGAACAGTGGTCGAACGTCGCGTAAAGTAGAGCGCCGCGACGCTGATCCACTCGTATGGAGTAAAAGTAAACACACTCTTTTTAAAATGCATCCTACTTCAAAAAATTCCCGTCGTTAAATTTAGGGTTCGTACTTGTTACGGTAATCCTTGTCCCTTGCGCTCCACTGATCAGATGATCGACTATTCCAAAACTCTGTGCAGGAAAGGAACTGTCGTAGACGCGGTAATGTGACTCGCTTAGCTCGTTAAGTCGACTAACCGTTCGGTCGAGTCGAGTTAACGAGCTTTATTTGGTAAGCAGAAGGCTCTTTCTTCTTCCCGTGTTACGCTTTTATCTCTAAGGTTTTTCAACGGACCGTTCTATTTTCATACACTTTCTACGATGATCAACGACATTATTTCTCCGGAGTAATTTTCTTCGGTTCGAATTTCGCAAGGTCGCTTTTCTCGCTGGCGTTACAGGGTCAGGCACGTCGTAGCTCCAAAACTTTCTCCTCTAATTTGATTATCGGCGAGAAGCACGCTCGGGATATCAACGGATCGATTAAGCATCCCTGACATCGGCCTAATCCGACGAGTTGGCCAATTCATTGTGGCTCAGGAGTCGTGGTTCACGAAGATCTCGGCGATAGAACCAATCGATGTGGGAATAGGATGTTAGCGGGGATAAATTCAATTTTCCTGACACGTAACGAAACATTTGTACATAGCGTCGAGACAGACAGTGTTCCATAAATTTGCGGAAAACAGAGTCGTACGTTATTCGGACGATCTTTGTCGTAAGAATATTAGTTCGGGGGTAATGTTTCAAACTCGTGAATTGTTCGACGCGACAACGAACGAATCGACGAATCGGAAACGCATCGGTTCAACGACCCCTCGATCGAGCGTCGAAACCGCGTGAAATCCCGCGTCACGTTTCGCGAGCGGAGTATCAATTTCGTTGTGCAAACATCCCTGGCCGATAATAATTGACGGTCGGACGCGAGAAAGAACGTTATTTCGACGGTCCTGTCATTATTCTCTGTAATATTCTAGTATTATAATCCGGCTGCAATGGATGATCCTCGCAGGGCCATTCTCGAGCCATAATACGAATTCGTAAACGATGAAACATGTTCCTGTAAACGTTCCCCCTATCT